CTCTTCACCCCTGATCACCGCGCTGGGGCGATGAGCAGCGACCTGCTCGCCTGTCCACGGGGACGGGTTGCGTCAGACCCTGGGGAATTTCAAATATTACGCCCCAAGGCGGTTCCCCAAGGGCCATTTTGGACCTTTTGTATCCCGCTCCCGGCATTCGCCCCCACTCAGCTGTTTCGGTGGCTGAACGGGGCGATGGTGGCGTAGGGGTGTGGGGGATAACGGGATTGGTCTCGGTGGCATCGGAGGGAAGAGCGCAGCCCGTGCGGACGCGGCCGTCGCCCAAAGCCAGGGCCAGCAGCACAAGCTCCTGCTCCTGGGAGCAGAGAAGTCGCTTCCCAGTGGGGTGGGAGCCCTTCGTGGGACCCCCACGGGGATTTTTTGCTCCTAACAGCCCCTCTCCGCCTTCCCTCCCTGCAGCCACCTCCATCCTGAAGCGGCAGAAGCAGCTTCGCAGGAAGAATGTCCGCTTCGACCAAGTGACCGTCTACTACTTCGCCCGACGCCAGGGCTTCACCAGCGTCCCCAGCCAGGGCGGCAGCTCCCTGGGCATGGCCCAACGCCACAACTCCGTCCGCCGCTACACGCTCTGCGAGTTCGCCCAGGAGCAGGAGGTGAATCACCGGGAGATCCTACGGGAGCACCTCAAGGAAGAGAAACTCCACGCCAAGAAAATGAAGGTATTGCCGGGGAAGCGGGGTGTCGCTGGTGAAATCCGGGTGATGTCGCAGCCGGGGAACACCTCGCTGAGCTCTGGTGGAGCTTGACCATAAGCCAGGTCGGAGGAGACAGATCCAGGCTGCCATTTCACATCGGCTGGGGGGGTTTAACGCTGATAAACTCTTCCTTTTTCTTTTTTTTTACCTCTTTTTTGTGGCGATGCTGTGCCTGCGCGCGGGGCCGGCCGGGCAGCATCAACCTGTGCTGGGTTCAGAGCTGTCGGCCAAAGCGCGCCAGGTCTGTGCCGGTAGAAATTCCAGTCTGGGAGGAGGCAGCTGGGCTGCGTCAGGGGAAGGTGGGGATCTGGGGCGGCTCTGCCGGTTCTCCACCCCATCCCGGGCCGGGTCCGTGCCCTCGGGCCGTGCCCGGAGCCTGGGCTCTGCTGCGCCGTGGCCTCCCTCGGGGGGGGCGCCGCGGCGCCCCGCCCCCGCCCCCCGCTGCCGTGACAGCCTGCTTCGGGCAACGGGACGCACACCCAGCCTGCCGCCTCTTTATTTTTTAAATTTTTTTTTTACACATAGGCTTTCCCACCAGCTCCTCAGGAGGCCATGGACCTCGCCATCCGCTGCCGCCACGTGTGCTGGCTTTCAGGGGGCTGGGGACCCCCCCCCCGGGCCTCAGCGCCAACATTTGGGGGTCTTTCAGTGCGTGGGGAGGTTGAAGGACCAGAGCAGGGAGGCGGCGGCGCGTTGCAGGATCCGGCTCCGGCCCCTCCGGTGCTTTGAAACCTCGTTTTCCCCAGGGACGAGGGCTGGGGGATGCTCCGCTGCCACCGCTGCTCTCCCGGGACCCGGGGATTTTAAGCAGCAGCGACCTCCTTTTATCTCACTATTTGCAGGGCGCCGTAGCGGAGGGAAGATGGAAAAGGGATTCTCTGCTCGGAATTCAGTTATTATTTAATTTTTTCCCCCCTCCCTTCTCCTATAAACTGCCGCGAGCGCGCCCGCGGTGCGGCTGGGGGGGAATGGCACAGGGACGGCTCTGTGCGGGGCTCGGCGCCGTGCCAGGCCCTGCTCGGCGCTGGGGGGCAAGGGAAGGCTCTGAGCCAGGCGGTGGGGTGGTCGGCAGGGGAACCAGGAGCCGGATGGACGGACGGACGGACGGACGGACGGACATCCTCCATCCTGCCTCACGGCTGGGATCGGCGTCCCCCCCCGGGTGGGCGCTGACTCTGCCCCGCCGCCCCGCAGCTCACCAAGAACGGCACGGTGGAGTCGGAGGAGGCGGACGGCCTGACGCTGGAGGACGTATCGGACGACGACATCGACGTGGAGAACGTGGAGGTGGATGACTATTTCTTCCTGCAGCCGCTGCCCACCAAACGCCGCCGAGCTCTGCTGCGAGCCTCCGGCGTTCACCGCATCGACGCCGAGGAGAAGCAGGAGCTGCGGGCCATCCGCCTGTCCCGGGAGGAGTGCGGCTGCGACTGCCGCCTCTACTGCGACCCCGAGGCCTGCGCCTGCAGCCAGGCGGGGATTAAATGCCAGGTGAGTCGGGGAAGGAGATGCCGGCGGTGAAACCGGGTCCTGGTGCCGACACGCTCTCCTTGGGTGCCGGCTGTTCCTGGAGGGGCCAGGGTGCAGCTCCAGCTTGTTTTGGGGACACCTCACAGGGGAAAAAACTCCCCCCAGCACCAAATTCCCGAGGTCAGGCAGCGCCGGGATGGATTTTAGGCTCTGGGGAGGGATCCTCTGGGATCCTGGAGCTGCCACGTCTCCGTCTCCCTGCCAGGTGGATCGCATGTCCTTCCCCTGCGGCTGCTCCCGGGACGGCTGCGGTAACATGGCCGGTCGGATCGAATTCAATCCCATCCGGGTGCGGACTCACTACCTCCACACCATCATGAAGCTGGAGCTGGAGAACAAGCGTCAGGGCGGGCGGCCACCGGCGCCGGGGGGGAGGGGGCCCCCGCCGGCCCGGGCCCCCCCCGGCGCCGGGCTGGGGCCGCAGCCAGCCGAAACGCAGGACTTCCAGGAGTTCATGGCGGAGAACGAGACGGCCGTCATGCACCTGCAAACGGCGGAGGAGTTGGAGAGGCTGAAGGCTGAGGAAGACTCCAGCAACAGCTCTGGTGTGGAAAGCTTGGGCGTTTGCATCCTGGAGGAGCCCCTGGCCGTGCCGGAGGGTTTGTGCCCGGGTCTCGCCACCCCCATCCTCATCCAAGCCCAGTTACCTCCGGGCTCCTCCGTCCTCTGCTTCGCCGACGGCTCAGAGCAGGCGGCCTCGGCGGCGGGCGACCAGCCCTACTTGAACGATGGGCCCGTGGTCTACTACCAGGTGGAGCAGAGGCCGGCACTGGGCGCCAAGGGCGAGAGCAGCCCGGCGGAGCCACCGGCGCCGTCCTCCTGCCCGGGCGAGAAGGACCTCGGCGTCCTCCCCGGCCCTGTGGTGACTTGCAGCCGAGCCGCCGCCGCTGCGAGCAAGGGGGAAGCCTCCAAAAATCCTCCCTCGTCCCCGGAGGCCGCGCCGTCCTCCGAGGGCTGCCGA